GCGCGCGCCTGGTCCCACGCGCCTCAAGGCCAGCCAGTCCCGCCTAACCCTAAGCGCCGCGCTCTCCCGCTTCGCCCTCCCCGCCACCCTCGCATGGCGAGCCTTGAGGTCCGTGGGATCTGCGAAAGCGCGGGGCTCCCAGTCCCTTCCCACCTCGCAGAAGTGGCGCTCGGAGAGAGTCGGTGCGCTGCGCGAGAGGAGATGGACAACGAGGTGATGCTGGGGAGTCGTTTGTAAAAACGCTCTGGCGTGCAACTTTGGGGTGCTCTCGCATGCACATTCGGGAGCAGGTCTGGAGGCGGTAGGGGGGTGACTTTGCCTTAGTAACCCCCGATCCCAACAGAAGCTCAGCCTGAGCCCTTGCGGTGCGGCGGCGCGTTGCTCTAGGTGAGGGGCTGCGACACTTCTCTCTGCAGCGGCCATCTGTCTCTGACAGCGGGAGAGCTGCCCCCTTCCCGCAGTGCTCGGGCCCCCACCGCACAGGGGTCGTGTGTGCCTTAGGGGCGGCCCGGACAGCTGCAGTTACTTGTGTCAGTGCACACAGTAGGTGCCTATTAAAGTGGCGGAACCTCCCAGCCAGTCCTGTCGGGATGTCTGCCCTCTCTACAGATCCTTTGCATCCTCATCCGCTTGGTGTGAAGAGTCAGGGCAGGGGAACCAGAAGGAATTTTACTTGGGTACCTGTTTGAACTGGGATTAACAAAAAGGAAAACATGTATTTAAAAATCAGACCTCTGACTGTGAGCTGCCAGGTGAGCCTGCCTGGGCTCTCCCAGACCTGAGCACCTCAAAATCTGCTCCCTTCTTGAGCTCACTTTGCAAAAGTGAGGGTCTGGCTGCAGCCCAGGGGCCAAAATCTTCGTGTCCACTGTGAGGAGAATTAGGTTCTGCATTTTCTGTGAGGGACGCAGGGTGTCTGTTCTGCTCTGAGGAGCCTGGGATGTGCTATGGTCACCCCGTGGCTGGGAACACAGCAGACTTTCCCCCCGGGGTGGGGGTTGAGCCATGTCGCCCACAGCCGGGAGGGGCCTGCCCTGCGCCAGGCCATGGGGCCAGAAGGCCGGCAGGAGCGTCTGGCAGCCGGCAGCCTTGGTCCAATCCGGGGCCTTTGGGATGACTGTGTACCCTTTCTGCACCCAGGAGCTGAGTGCTTCCCTGCCTGCGCCCCCCACAATGGAGTCTGCGAGGATGGCAATGTTTGCAGGTACCAGAGCAACTCCCCAGGGCAGCTGGTGGAGGCCAGGGCAGAATCCTTGGGAGTCCAGGCTCAGTCGGAAGAAGAGGGGGTGGCTTGGCCATTAGGCTGTGTCAGATGGGTCCAGTACCCCTGGAGGAAACTGGCGAGGGAAGAAAAGGGGAGCAGGAGTGGGGGGGGCAGCCACTGCTAGGAGGGGGGGGGCCAGCCACTGCTCCATCTGCCTTCTCAGAGGTGGGGTGGTGGGAACCCCTTCCCCAGCAAGACCCCTGCAGGCCACTGCGGCAAATCGCAGAGCTCTGCCCTGCAGGCTTCTCAGGACCCCTCGGTGTCTGCCCCCTCACCCCCCGCCCAGGTTACGTTTCCCACTTAGGTGAGTGGAGTTTGCTTCCCGGGGCCCACTGCCTGCCGCTGCGCAGGGATCTCTGGGGGCTCTGGGCTCCACGGAAAGCCCCCACGTAAGCGCCTGCTCCAGTCTCCCCCCTCATGCGCCCCATCTTTCTTCTGCCCCTTGGCAGGTGCCAGCCTGGCTGGCAGGGCCCCCTGTGTGACCAGTGTGTGACCTCTCCTGGCTGCGCTCACGGACTCTGCGAAGAACCCTGGCAGTGCGTCTGCAAGGACGGATGGGACGGGGAGCTCTGCGACATGGGTACTCTCTTCTGCCCCTCCCGCCCTGGGGCCCTGTCCGCACTTCCTGCCTGCCCCACCTCCCTTCCTCCTCCTGCAGCAGCCTCGCCCAGGAACTAGCTTACCTACGAGAGGTGGCCCTGACTGCTCACCTCCATGCTGCCAGCACCCAGAGACATCCAGAGAAAGCACAAGTGGGGGCAGGCAGCTGCCTGTTGAATAAAGAGTCACATAGTGACCACATGGCACAGCCAGCTAGGCAGGTGTGACCCCAGGCCCCAGGCAACCTGTCTGAGTCACTAGCTCAGAGGGGGGAGAGGGCTCAGGGGCTCTCAGAGCTGGGGCTCCTGGAAAACCACAAAAGGACAGCAAGCCAAAGGGGAGGGGGTGACTAGCTGTGTGATGGCAAGGAGGAGCCTCTGAGGAGAGACCCCTAGGACAGGCCTGAGGAGCTGTGACTGGAGAGGCCGGAGCGGGGAAAGAGATAAAGTGCACATCTGTTGATTTCATTCATCTACGTGATCTCTGTCCTCGTTACCCTGAGCATGAGGCCGAGCTGGAGCTGCATTCCAGGCTGCAAGTGTGTGTCTGAGCCCGCTTGCATTTGGCAAAACCTGCCTGAAGGGGCGGGGGGGGGGGGGGGGTCTCTGTCCCTCGGTGCTCAGCCTGAGCAGAGACTCGAGGCACAAGTAGGGAAACGGAGGCTCCGCGAAGCTAAGGGTCTGCTCAGGGCTATTTAAGTAGTGGGGAGAAAAGCCAGTGAAGCCCCTCCCCAGCCCAGAAATGGGTTAGTCTCCCTCTGTGACTGCTACTAACACCCTCGCTTAAGGTCTCACCCTGCAAAAACAGGCAGTGGGCCTCCCTCTGCCCACGGGCTGTCTCTGGCCCTTACCCACGCCGCCCAGGTACCTGCTGCATCACGCTCTGGTCAGCAGCTCTGCTGCCTGTTTGGGAGTCCAGGAGATTCCAGAACAGACACTGTTTGGGATCGGTAGGTTTCAGCCTGTAACCTTGCCCTCTTGGGAATTGAACTCAGGACCCAGAAGCCTCTCTCCTGATGGGCCCTTGGTATGTCCTCTTCCCACCTGGTCGATGGGGTCTCTGAAAATGACTGGGATCCCAGAGAGGAAGTAGCCCTCCAAGTCACTGCTGGCCCTCTTCCTTTCTGCCGGTCCTTGGGCCCGTGGCAGCCGCAGCTGCTGTCCCCACAGAGCCCTTGGGCAGCCTTCTGCAGCAGCTCAGTCCACCCCTGCCTGCGGGTTGGGGCTTGGGAAGCTGATTCTTGGCTTGCAAGGCTCAGGGTTTTGGGGAGAGAAGCAGGGACAGGCTGTGGGTGGTAACCAACTCTTTAGTTTAAATTTAAGATTCCCTGTGACAGGAGAGTCTGGAGCAGAGAATTAGGGGCCCACTGCGGAGGCTCCGTGTGCTCCTGTGTTCCTGGTGCATCTTGTAAAGATAAATTCTCTTTGTGTTTCCATTAGCCAAGCCAGGCCCCCCACAATGCCCTGGGATAGCCCACCTGCCACTGATTGATGGCAATCTCCCCTCTGGGAGGGTGTGGGTCTTTCTGAAAGAGAAAGAAGAAAATCTGCACAAGTGTGGCCTCAGCCCTGGGGGAGCCCCCCACCAGCCTGCCATAACTTGCTACGTCTCTGGCCAGTCCTGGGCTTCAATTTGGCAGAAACTGGCTGGGAAGAGCGCTCCCTGGTATAAATAGGGAAGTGTAGGCAGAGTGGGGAGAGCTGAAGGTGCTGCCCCGGGGCAGCAGCTCAGAGCTAGGACAAGGTGAAGGTCCCTGCCCAACCCCTCTGGAGGGCTGAGGTCTTCAGTGGCAGAGCCCCTCCCGCCCCAGGAACCTTTGTTCAGTTCCTCCCTGGCTCGCCGAGCCTTAATAATGAACTGTGCATGAAGGGAGGCGTTAAGAGGCAGTGGAAATACACCAGTGTTCACAGAAGCCCGCACCGACAGGAGAGTGCTTGATAATTCTAATTTTGCTGCCTTCAGATCAGTCTTTTTATCACCAAGGCCCTTTGCTCAGCACCCTAAAAGCAGGAGGGAGGCCATGGGGGCAGAGTGGTGTTAGAGCATCGCCAGGGCTCCTGATGGCCGACGTCGGTCTTCACATCTCTATCCCCCTCTTTGACGGTGGTTCCTCCCAAGGTCCGGCCGTACCAGTCCCCAAAGTAGTAGGGGCTGCGTCCTGCAGCCACCAAATGTGAGAAGCTGGAAGTGAACCCTTGTTTGAGGCTGGCAGGCCTGAGGCCATCTCAGTGGGGCTCACAGTTCTGGGGAGGCACCTGGAGTCTGAAGTGAAGGTCACAGGCATGTTGCTAGACTTCAGGGGTGACCTGGTGCCAGGACAAGGGTGTAGCTGTCCCGGGTTTATATATTTGGCCACGACTTCCCAACTGTACAGGGACACCTCTTCAGCTTCCCAAGCCTCAGTTTACTCTCCTTGAAGTTTTTTTCAGGGGAGTGTCACTATTCCTTCTCTCTTTGGAGTCCACTTGGCCTCACGCAGGACTTGGGGCTTCTGTCACCCTTGTAACCGGAGAGGGAGTAAGGGGTATTCTCTGCCCCCACAGATGTGCGAGCTTGCACCTCCACCCCCTGCGCCAACAACGGGACCTGCGTGGAGCTGGGTCATGGCAGCTACGAGTGCTCCTGCGCCCCGGGGTACTCGGGCAGGGACTGTCAGAGGAAGGATGGGCCCTGCGTAATCAACGGGTAAATGCTCTTCTCAGCTCCCTGTGCCCTGTTCAATGCGGCTTTTGATTCCTGCTTCTTACCCCCTAAAGACCCTTTCAGCCTGGCCCTGCTGGACCTGTCTGGTGATAAAAGAGGAAGTAAGTGCTCCTCCGGACAGCCCCGCGGGGGGCCGCCCTGGCTCAGGGGCTTTGTTGGGGAGTATGTCATTTCCATAATTTTTTCAAATGATCCTGAAGGCGATTTCACAATGCCCTGGCAGTCCCAGGCCTGGCGGGGTGAGTGACAGCGACATGGCGAACTGGCGTCCGGCTGCATTGTTTTCTAACAGCAACGTGATGATAGGAAATGAGAGTTCAGCA